CTCGGCTCCCAGCTTCTACTGCGTCTGTCCATCGGAATTGTCGCTATCCTCAGACGGCCGGACGTGCCAGCGGCCTGATCGTCTTTTGATTTACAGCACGGGGACTTCTGGACCAAATGATGGTCTGCGCTATTTGAGCCTTGACGACTTGGCCGCTGTCAAGGCGTCTATACCCAAGTGAGGCATCATTTCCCCAGAGCTCCATCCCACCCCACCCTATCGACCATTGTTTGCATTGCCAACGCCTATGAACGTATGACAAAATAAGATGTTATTTTCGCTGAGTAGGCACCAGCAGTTCTTGAATACTGGCTTAGGCAGTCTGGGTCGCTTCAGGTGATTCGGGAACTGATAGTCGAGTACTTCACAATCGGTTGACTAGGTCTCATGATGCCGGTGTATTTCACTTGGTCTTGCCTACCCAAATGCTATTCCATTTCGGCTGGAGTGGACTGCAATTTCGACTTTGCCTCATCATCTCTAATCAGCATCCCCGACGGCATCTGATACCAAGTCGTGAGTATCGTTGCGAGGATAACTCAGCCCAATACACAGCCATGGATGTCAGTGAGTCACAGAGCAGATGTGACACTCGAGGTAAGCCGGGCCTCTTCCAAATCATATTTGGTAGTGGGATTGTTGACTGAGCAAATATGTTGAAATAGCTTTCATCTAGAAGATATGAAAGAAAACTGGGTTTCGATGTATTGTGACATGAATTTTCCTTTTCGAAGGCAAAACTGATTGGAAGGAATTCGCGAAATCGTTTCGCTGGAAAGGGAAGGAGGTCTATTGGATTGCAATAAACAAGTCATAGGCTCACCGAGTGAACCCGATGAGCTTGTGCTAATATTTCGTGGCAAATATCCACAGAGCAAGGAGCCTTACTTTACGAAATAGTTTGGCAAATGTTTCACGCTATTTCGTGAAGTGTGCATTCTTTCTCTGGTAATCTCTGTCACAGCGGGACAGATCAAAGCTCAGCACAGTTTCATCAGTGTCGTAAGATGATGAGTCGAGGACTGATTCATGCATTCTAACTGTCTTGAATTCGCGGCAATTCTTCTTTGGTTTCCGATGAGACCATTTCACTAATACCTTCCGGCCAACATTGCCTTCGAAATGGAGAGCCATGTCACAATAGACTTGACTTCGTTTGAAGAGGCGATTGGAAGGGATTCGAAAGTTGGTCCCATCGGAAGTCAACGGAGGCTGTAACTTGGAGCTGTGATTGTAGATTTGTGCCAATAAGTCCTCGCCTCACTGTCCAGCTACCCTAACCAATCTTTACTGAGCTGTTCTCCATCATGTAACGGACACCTTCAGAGCATGCTTTACGATGAGACGTCAAAACACGAAGACAGGAACGGTGGTTAAAATTATCTATAATTTTGAAATCTAATCTAAGCAGATCTTTTTCTGACGTGGATACCGATAATTACCGGTATCGCTGAGGAATATACGGCACCGAGTTATAAGTAAGTAATATGAGATGTATTCATTCTACTTCGTTTGAGGTGATGAAGGACTGGTCGTAAAATTTTCCCACAATCATGTGAGTATAGCTGAGGTTTCCAATAAATTTCACATAACCTTGCCTTCCCAAAAGTTCTCATCCCGGCTGGAGTGGACTGCAGTTTCGACCTTGCCTCGACCTTATCAACACCCCGAGCGGGAGTCGAACTGTGACAGTGCAGAATGGGAGTTTGACACGTTAACCACTCGGCCACATTGCCACGAGTACCCTTGGGTCACAGAGCAGATGCGAATTTCACGGAAGGCCGGGCCTTTTGTCATATCACATTCTTCAGTGTGATTGTCGATAAAGCAAACCTATATTTGCTATATCAATCGACTACGTTACTTATTTTTCATTTTTAAGTAGAGCTTCGAGACTACCAGTAAATTGTAAGACCGATGCGAGGTTGAAACTGCAGTCCACTCCGGCCGGGATGGGAACAACTTTTGGGAAAGCAAGGCTATGTGAAATTGAATAGAAACGTCAGCTCTACTCACGGCATTGTGGGAAAATTCGACTACCAGTCCTTCATCACCTTAAACGAAATAGGGTGAATACATTACAAATTTTCTTCGCAGATGTAGAATGGTTTGGCTAATTTATCTTTCATATTGGAGTGTGTTTGTGTGTGTGTGCGTTAGAGTCCATACGCAATACGGGTCGTAGATCAGCGATCTAAAAAGCCTAATTTCAGGCTCTGCTTTCAATGAGACTTAATGACCCAAGAAAAAAATTCTAATCGAGATTGCATAAGTCCGTAAGTAGCACTGGTCGAGATAATGAGACGTAAGCTGCCTCAATCTGAACGAGGTATTAGAGCCAGACGACTGCGGTACAACGAGAATCAGCCGTCATCTTCTGATGAAGTCGACCTTCGCATCTCTTCTCCATACACTTTCATACGAAATGAAAGTCTCTCCAGCATTTTTATCTCAGCAGATTGATCGAAACTCAGTTATTCTTCGTATCTAAGACCTTTACTATGATGGCAGTTTATGAATATAGCAAGTCCATACATAGTCCGATGCTGGGCATCATCATGAAGAGTGCGAACGCAGACTCTGTACAAAATGTGTCCATCTTGTCCT